GTATCCTAATGTATATATTCCTTTATATTCATGCAAATGTCTGGTTTCAGGTGTATACGTCTCTGTATTTACTCTGCATTCAGTCCGTTTCAGCCCTCTAAGGTCAGCCCTCGTCCACTATAGAACGTGCCGCAACATGACTCCCAGGCAGCGGAGCAAAGTAACACAGTCTGAGACTTTAAACAGTATTGATGGGAGCTAAAACCTTGTGAACCCTCTGAAGGCTGTTACATTGAAGTGCATTCTTCTTTAGCTCTGTGGATTTGATCCAATCTGGCTGTTATCAGGATTGGACATCATTTTGTTCTGTGCCGTGAGCATGTAACCTTGGGTTTGTTCGGGTTGCTTATCAGACAAGAAGCCATGACACTTGACATGTGAGGAGGGGCACCGAGTTTATTTGCTGGCTCTGTGAAGTGAGGCAATGATAGGCAATCTGCTGATGTGCCTTACAAGCTCAATTTTCTTTTTGGGCTATTTCTTTTTTCCTCAGAAACCCACTCAGATTTGAATCATAGCAGGAGTTGTAGCCTTTAGAAGCTATTGATTCATAATCCCTTTATTGCACAATAGCAGCACAATTAAGGAACAGCTTAATAAAAAGGAAAAAAAGACGTTAGCTGTGATGGCTGAACAGTCAGGATTTTTCTAACCAGAGTTGTCGCTACTGGAGCTGGTGGAGAAGTCATGTGGTGGATTATCAAATAAATGAAATCTGTGCCGGTGTGATACTGATTGACCTCAGATCAGTGGCTGTATGGTTGGGTCACACTTCATTAGCAAACCCTGAAGCCAAGCATAGCCACCACCCAGGATCACATGGAAACACGGACGCCGGGGGCAACGGGCCAAGGTTGAAAGCAGCCAATTAGACCAAAAAAGGTAATGCGACTGCAAGATGAAGGCAAGTCGGCGAACGCATGGAAGGTCTTGTAATTTTGTTCCGACGTTCTGTCTGTTGGCTTCTTGTTCTTGGTTTGAGGGGAGCTCATTAGTCTGAACAAGTCTGGGGTTCCAGTTTCAGGTTTGACAAAGAAAAGAGAGTTTGGGAATTATCTTGTATTCCAATTCATTCCATCTAAATTTTTCACAGATTTATTGTTGATCCATCCAGCCATGTGATGTTTTTCCTTTTTCAGTTTCCATCTTTACAGCTTTGCCTCTGCAGAAATATCTGCAGTAAATTGAAAGTAATTTGGCCATTGTTTTCCCACGCAACAGCCAACGGTTCTGCTCAATTCTCATCTCCCTCCACTGATCTTCACTGATTTCTCTCTTTGTGCTTGATTTCTTTGGCTGAATTTCAACTAACCCAATCAAAATGTGAATGATGTCAACTTTGTACGCTTTTTTTTATAACAGTAGTCTCCCTAGATACGTTTGAAGTTTGGCAAAAGTGAACAAGGTCAATCAGTCTGCATTGGCCACGCCTCTAAACATATTCCTCAGAGCAAGAGGAATGTTTAAGATGTTTTATTGCTAGCAAAGATGTTATGGACCTACTCACAACCGGGTTGTTTACACGCACGCAATTTCTGGTAAGCTTCACAGAGTGGACGCATT